AAGTTCTTTATTAAGGTATATGAAACATCAAATGATACATATCAAATATCATATAGTAAAAATAATAAATAACAATCCACGCGCAACTTCAGAAGACTAATGCAAGGTAAGTGGCAAAAATACTAAGATTACTCGTTTAATGGGAAATAAACTTCAACGTATACAATGTCTTAACTTAAGTCGTTAAATTTTAAAACATTACAGATCTTGGGACACTTGTATACATATCAAATTTACACGCCTTGATTTTTGAAATTAAAAAAAACAACCGATAATTTACATATTTTTCAACTTAAAATTTCTGGGCTCTATACATTTTTAAAAAGAGTCAAAATTTAAATGGAATTATCTTTAGATAAAGTACAACCGATAAACGTAGACAAACCAAAAAAAGTAACATGAACCCTTACCCCTAGATGGGTTGGAAACTTAATCTTTATTTTGCTTATTTAGATGAAGTTTTAAGGATTAACGTTTTTTATACTATACTTTGCATTATACTTTTATGTCCATCAAAAATTATTTTTTTTTAAATCAAAAGTTGACAATATTGTCTCGTTAAACATACTATTTTAGAGTTTGTGTACAAAGATATTTTAGTATGTTTTTTTTTCAAACACCGTTTTGAATATTTTCATAAAACAAAATATATTAAATTACAAAGGTAAAATAATTGTAATGATGTCATCATTTTCGATCAAATGGTTCGTTGTGAAACTATGGATGCAAAATAACTATTTAATATTTTTAAAATACTTTGTTTTTCTACAATAAAAAAAAATACTGTGGTATATTTCTCAAAACATAGTTAAATGGGGTTAGATTTAAAATTGAATAATCTTACATTTTGTTTGGGTTTTTTAGGTTTTAAGGCAAAGGATTGACTTTTTGACATTTTCATATCTTGACTCTGGCAGATAACCGAAAATAGCATTTTTCAGCCAAGTCTGCAAGCACGAAAGATCATTTTCATGTCTCGTTGAAGTACCGAATAAATTTAGAGTAGTGGTGGTGGAATTATAGATAAAGCTAGTATCTAAGGTGGCTAGTAAACATATCAAGTTTCTGGCTAATATTTTAATGCTTTCATAATATCTGGCCTAATACAACTCATAGGAATATGACCTTATAATTATTGAATTTATTTTTCAGTTCAACATGGACTGAGCATGGACTAGATACTAGCTTGTTACTGCTTGTTTTTATACTATTTCATTATCTATAATTCCACCACTGCTCTAAATTTACTCGGTACTTCAACGAGACATGAACATAGATAAAATAAATAAACAAAAAAGACGTTTAACGAATAAGGTAAAAGGTAACACTTTAAAATTAAACATACACAAATGATTTAAGTCCTCAAAAACAATTGAAATGTACACAAAAATATATAGGATACCGAGATCCTAGGAAGTACGATAAATGACAATGTCAATTTACAATAATTCCCTCAATAAAACGGTCGAGAGAGTAACTCTTGACATTCTTTTCGTTAACCTTTAATAGTTAACACTGTGGATATAATTTTTCTTATGCTACATGTACATATTGCTGGATTAGCATTATTTTTATGCAGCTAAATATTAAATACATTTTATAAAATTGCAATGCTTTATTATGCTTTATTGTTTGTACGGTTTGTAACTAACTGTTTTCTGTGTTCAATCATAGTATTCCTTTTGTATTTGTTGTTTTTTTTTTCTATTAATTTAGGTACGACGTTTTCTTAATAGCATATTTAATTAAAACCGTTTATTGAGTATGATGAATTTATTAATTTTAAATTACACATTTTTTTAACAACTATTATTAGAGATGTACAACATTTTTTTTATGATTATTACTGTTTACTTAAATGGTTTAGGCTACGTGTACAAGCAAAAGATTGTAAAATAAAATGCTACTTTGACACATTTTCAAATCGGTATTTCAGAGGTGCTAATGATATTTTAATAATTAGTTCGAACTGTGATTACTCTGTCCCTGGTGTAGGTAAAGCCCAAGTTATAGAACCATTTGCCCATGCTCTCGTCAACGTAAGTGTCCATTTCGTTTTGTACATACTGCACCATAGTGGTGTCCTGCGGTATCAGCTGCGTGTTTATTGCTTGCTCGAATTGTTCCACCAAAGTGGTTGCAGTCCATTTTCTGTTGGCCGGCAGCACTTCGCACTGGTGGTGGATAAAAGATTGTACATGGTCGTCGTATACTTGCGAGATGCGTTGGCCGATGGTTGTCATTTCGTGATCGACCCCTGATGCGGTTCGGTGCCCTCGTTCGGTGAATTTCACCAAGGTCGTCGGTCTTACATTGCCCGCGTATTTGGCCAATATTCTCGTGGCATCCATTACACTGCACTTTTGTGTGGAACTCGGCTGAGGAGCCACCGAGTAAATGTACATCAATGCGTCCCACATGCACGTATAACCGGGCGCCAAGTTGTGCAGTCTGAGCAACAGCGAATCCACACAATCGTAATACCTCCGAAAAGATTCCAACGACTCGCGTTCTTCGCTTTGGCAAACCCCTATGTAATGGTTCACCAGACATTTGTAATTGAACATAATCTCGCCGTACTTGCACGTGAGCACGGTCCAGATTTGCTTGTGTCTTTTCAGCACGTTGGTTTCGTTGACCGCCCTCTGCTCGGACCGCACGGCTTGGCGTATTGTCGAAACGGGACCCGCGACATCTCCGCGTTTGTTGATTAAGATCTTGACTTCTTCCATCACATCCCATCCCGGATGGCCTACCAACCAGTTGAGTTTGTTAGCGGCTTGCGTTTTTTGCGATTTGCTCATCATGCCCGACACGACGCTTGTACAGCAGCCAAGTACAGCGACCCAAACAGCTAGTGTGGAAACGGACGTTGGCCCATGCATTGTTGAAATAATAGCGTCGAAAAAGTATAAATCAAAACACAAAACACGGTAGTAGTGCTGTTCAATTGGAAAATTCTACTAAACAATACGGTGCTCGAAAATTTTTTTAAAATTCGGTTTGATTTCATTTTTTTTTCTCTCGAAACACGCGCCAAGACAGTGTTTGCCAATAATATTCGCTTTACGCTATTGATTTATGCCCTGCTCGTTTGTTAATTTAAAACGCTCTTGTGATCTACACGGCGACAGCTATGACAAAAAATGAAAAAATATTTTAGCGTTTGAATTTTCATTTATTTGTTCATTTGTTATGACTTTTTAAAGATTTGGTGTTTTGACTATATTTCTTAATATTTCCAATCGTTACTACTAAGACGAGCAGTTTTATTACATCGCATAAAAGTAATTTGACTTGTTAACGTACTCCGTATCATATCAGATATAATAAATAACCACGCGTTATAAGATACGCTGTGACATTATTATGTATTCGAAAATCGAAAGGTACGCTATGTCCTATGACGGACTTAAGACTTAAGCTGGGGTTCAGTATGTACTATTTATGATTATAGTTATCACAATCTAGTGCCTACCACCGACTAATTGAGTGACCAGTAACCAAATATGTTATTGTTTATACAAAAATCGCATAATATTTAAACATAACCTCTTATAAGTTACAACTAACAAATTTTGACTTTTCACATCTTCAGTTTTCGCTATTAGTGAAATAAGAAATTATAAATTTAATTATAACATTTAAGGAAAGTTTACTTCATAGCAAATGTCATAGCATGAAGAATGTATGTAGTTATGGCATAACTCTTTATATTATGTACACATAAACACATATTATAATATATCGGTTGATAATATTTTCTGTCGACTTTAGTTTTTACGTATCGTTCTTGGGCATAGTATCAATCGGTAAGTATGTTAAGAGTTTAATAGGTAATTTAATACAATACGAATTCAAATAAGACTCCAGACCTTACAATTATGTATCAAGGTGTAATTTATAAATATAAAGCATTATTTTCTAATGTGACAATATGCATGCGAATGACGTAATATCAATTTTAATGAAAAGTGTGTTATTTTGTGATTAACTTTAAATAAATATTGATACCAGAATGTGTGTAAGTAAATTAATATTAATCAATACATCTATTTAAATTGTTTTTGTAAATATGAGTAATTATAGTATGCATCATTTATATTACTATATACATATGACCTATACATACACAAAAATCCAGAAAAACGTAATAGCTTTGGTGCAATTTAACAAGTTATTGATTAATAATAAGTGTTATGTGGGTCATGTTTTTGCAAAAAAAAAATCAGTAGTGGGATCGGTTGGAGAGTTAGAAAGTATTAAATTGAGGTGCTGTATTTACATATAAGCATCAAAGCCTTTTATTTGAAAGTGATTTTATTCGCTTTTATCAATTTTATTCATAATAATTCCTGTAGACCTGTGACCTCTCCGTCCCCTCGTTGCTTTGATTCCATTATGCCTAGGTATACTCTACTGTACCAGTCCTCTCGGATAAAATTTTTCTAATTGAAAAATAAGTTAAACAAATTCAAAGTATCCACACTACTATTTCTAATTTTGAAATTTTTAAAAAAAAATTTTGTTGGCCAAAAGTTAATTTAGTAGTTCTTTAATATTTGGCCTTAACTGATTTAGATTCAATACTTCACAACCAACAGCCGTTTGAAACCCCACCATTCTTTATGATACACCCTGTATATTAAATTATTTATAAATCCAAGTAAACATTTTATTATACTAATTTATTATTTAATGTACGTTTTTTATTGTACATATTAAGAAAACCAGTTATGTATAAATGTATGTACATAAATTTGAAGAGTTATATTCGAACTCAAAGCGTAAAAAGTGAAGTAATTTTGTTATGTATTTAAATGTAACATTAATTTAATTACTACGGTATTAACTACTGCAAAACTAATACAATATAAGAACAATGGATACAAATCAGTAAAACCACAAATAATACTTCAGTATTAAAATAAATAAAATTGGAAAGACCTTTTCAAGCAAGTCCGACATTGACTCTATACAATTTGTTATTTTGTATTGTTAAAAAAAAAAACACTTCTTTGAACATTAGGTCAGATGACTAGAGTGGTCTAATACTACAATTTGCGATCACAATAAATTTAAATGAAATGAATTACAAATATATTAATCTCAATGTAATAAACGTATTTTTACAGTAAAAAAATACTCAATTACAGAACAGAACAGTATTTTGTAAGTCAATACAACGATATCTTAGACAGTCATAACAAAATTAAAAAGTATACAATACAAAGAATTTACGAATATACAAAAAGTAATTTGTACGATATTGTACTTTTATTATTTTTTTTTAAGTAAAAATAAAATAAACAAAAAAAAACCGATGATAAATAACGACATTTCATATTAGTAATAATGTAAAATGTTCATAAATGAATAATAAAAAACCGGTGAACTCAAACAAATCGATCGTAGAAGAACGTCGTTACAATTGTTGTGTCGAGTTACCGTTGTAGGTGCTGTTGTCATCGTCGTCCGGACGTCCACGTCTGTTCTCGTTGCGGTTTCTCAAACTATGTATATTGGACGTGGGCTTGTAAGTGAATTTCCTGCACGGAATAGTAGTACGGTTTAAAAATGTTAAAAAAAAAAATTGTCAAGACTGCATACTCACTTTTCGTAGCTGTCGTTCGGCGGGTTTTGTGACTGCGTTGCGTTTTGTGACTGCGGTGCGTTTTGTGACTGCGGTCGGGATGCAACGACAGGCTGTGTACGAGTCAAGTAACTAAACGCGAAATCACGAACGCTATAGTACGGTTTCAACACAAGCGTGCGGTAGATGCTCATCACCAATGACCACGGGTCTATTATCGACGAGAAAGGGGTTTGGGCCAACGAAGTTATCTGTTACAAAATTCACATAATCCATTTATAGATTTCAAGTTACCTGATAAACAATACTACCGTGACCAAGTTAAAAGCTACTTTTAATAATAATAAACTTAGTTAAATTTAATTTCAATGAGTCGGTTATTTTCAATGGAAGTTATTACGGTACAGTGCTTTTTGGTGCGTTATTATGTAAATATACAATTACTTACTTTTTCATTTCTGTATTGGCGTTCTTTTTAATTAGTATATTTATTCAAATAATTTGTGTAACAAACTCTGATTTTATATTTTCCATTATGAACCTACCTACTTGGGTTAGTTAACTGAGTAAATTGTTGAACTACTGGGCACAATTACATTACATAATTAATGTGGCCAATAATTTAATTGCAATAATTGAATTACCTCAAGTATTTTATAAATTGTAACCAACAACATTTTTTTCAAGTATAATCATATTAATTATAAGTACTTTTGATTTGGTTAATTTCCAGTTACATTAATATGAAAAAGTTTTCTTAATTTACCAACTATGCAATTTTCTTTGATGATTTCACTCAAATTTTTTTTTTTTTTAAAACAACTGAAAATTAACCACAAATTTAAATAATGTTAAACATCTTTAATTTTTAACTAAAAAGAAAAGCGTGGGCCCTATTCAACAAAGTCCCTAATTAATTTACCAGATAATATTTTATATTGTAAGATTATATTTGGTTCATAATACTTAACTCAATGAATTTGGACTTTGTTGAATAGGGTCCACGCTATTCTTTTGAGTTAAAAATTAAAGATGTTTAACATTATTTAAAACTGTGGTTAATTTTTTGTTGTTTTCAAAGTAATTGACATTTAAAAAAAAATTGCTACAATTGATTCGTAAATTGTACTTATAGTAAAATTTTTAAAAAATATTTTATAGAAAAGCATGTTTCTAATTTTACTTAACTTTGGACAATTTCAAAAACTACCTCAAATGCTAGAAAAATTAACGAGGCCAGAAAAACAAATTTTTTATGTAAAAATTATCTTTTGGTAATAATATAAAAATTAAATCACGTTAAAAAAAAAAAATTTTAGTGTTTAAAACAAAAAATCAAACTTTAACATTATTTAAGTTCAATCTACTCTCAAGATTTTTTTCTGTCTGTTTTTTTCTGGAAATACTTTCCAAAGTTACTTGCAATAACTTATATAAGATTTATATCAGAATTTGAACATTTTCTTTTGCATAGATTAAAAAAAAAAATGTTTAATCACAAGTAATTTAATATTACGTACTTTGTAATTTGTAATTCAATCGATTTTTCTAAGGTAGTTTGCCTAGCTTAATTTGGCTTAAGTTAATATAGTTGAATGACTCTAAAATCTTTACCGAATGTACGTAAATTGTTGACGACGGACATAGATTTAAATCCAATAGTGTGGCGCTAAAATCCTCTTCGACGAACAGCCGATGAGCTATAAATTTGATTGGCCTAGAGAATCGATAAGAACACAATGAGATCCGGATGAAAATAATAACACTTTATTAAATTTACTGTTACCCGGAAGGAAGACTCATGTTTGTCGTCACATACGCTTTGATGTCGTTTAGCGAAGAAGTAACTTTAAACTCTTGGATGCTGGTAATATTTTTGCTCGGAATTTTTATTTTTATTTTTGTCATATCGTTGTCGGATCTGCAATAGTACGAAATACAAATTAATTTTCAATATATAGAGCATTGATTTCCTTTGGAAATTATACTAATTTATTTTTTTTCAATAAAATAATATAATGTTGGTTATACAGCTTTCATCCAATATCGATTAATATAATTACTTTTTAATATTGTCCGTAATTTTCGGCATATCGATTTTTTCCAGCAGTTTATTCATTTTTGCTATCTGAAAACATGGTTTATTTTGTTTAAAGTTAATATTATGTGTATTATCCTTTAATAGTTATTAAATCTCTAATGAAGAAACAATTTAACATAATTTATTTTTTGTTGTCAATGAAGTAATTCAAGATGTCTAGTTAGTAAGTTATTTTTATTAGATTTTATTGAACAATAATATGTCTCAACAGTTATAATAAACACAACATACACTAAATAATTATCACTTATAAATTCTTGATGCTATAAAAAAGCCAGTGCCTATGATAAATACAATGACAGAAAATAAGAAAAAGTTATTATGAAAACAATTATCACTTTATTCCTACTTATTTTTTTATTGAAGCTACACCAATAGTCATTTCAAAGCAAAGTAAAACCAATTTTTTTTATTTTTCAAACTGAAATGTTTGTCTGTATACTGATGAGTATTTTTTTTATGGATGACTTTTAGGTGTAAATATAACCCTTTTGAATTGCAATTGAAAAAGTTACAAAAAATTGTTAAAAGTCAGGGCTTAAAGTTTAAATTATTATAACGGAAAAAATGTTAGTTCAAAACGTTTCAGAGTTCAAACTAAAAATTAAATAAATTTTGCAATAATTATGAATACAATTACTTTTTTTTGGATATTGTTCCAATACTGTAAAAGCTTCTGTTTTTGTAGTTCTGTAGAAATATCACCTGTAACAAATTTATCTTTTTAGTATATAAGAAAAATGTTGTAGTATGTAAAATAAAACTTACTCGATATAATATCTTTTATGGTGCTGCTAACGGCAGATAGCAGGTTTTGTTTTAAAACAGTTTTCAAGTCAACTGATGGTGTAGATGCTGGTGTTCTTATTACTCGTTGTTCGATATTGTTTTTTTCCAATAAATATATCGAAGGAATAGCGACATCGTTGACTGATCAAAAACTACGTCAAGGAAAAAATGGTTATAAAAGTAAAAAATAAATAAATTATAAATACAATTTCTTAATAAGTTTTTTTTTTGTCAGACTGTCAGTCTTTTTTTAATAATAAAATTACAATTCTTTTCTGCCAAACATTTTGCGCCAATCAAAACCAAAATTTTTGTAAAATCATCAAATTTCTATGGATCAGAAATTCTACTAGAGAAATTGTTACATTATAAAAAGCAAAAAGTATACATTTTCCCTTCTAAACTAAATCTATTTATAGCCATTTATTTCAGTTTATTTAGGTTATTATTAGAAGACTGCAGATATTCCCTTTATTACTAATATTCGAAGAGTGTATGTGACTGTTATCAAATGTTTTATTTTATTTATCAACAATTACTATGACGCTTGCCAAAACAAAACAAGTTTTTGTCTTACAACGTGTTTCAAAAAATTTCATACACAATAAGATTTATTTTAATAATTTGATGCTTTTTATAAAATAAAAAAATGTTTACTATCATTTACAAGTAGTTATTTATGTTTTTTTTATGCTTTCCTTGTGTTTCTAATACAAAGTCAATGAAAATAATCAGAACGTCAATTGGCATCCATGCGCGTTGTTCAAAAAATTATTGAATAATGCTAACGATGTTATTTGGCCTGATGAAAATTCTGTAGCTCAAAGTTAAAAAGAATGATTTAAATGTATTATTGAACACAAATAAAAACTTTTTTTTATTACCAAAATCAAATTTACGAAAACAGTTTTTTACGCACTGGAGTGAGAACCACAAAAAGGCTAACGTGTGGTAGTCAACGTGTAAATAAATACATAAAATGGTCCGCATTGTTACAAAAATGTGTAACTCAATTTACAGTTTGTGATAAAAATTAAAAAAAAAAAAAATTAGATAAGTATTTATTTACTGGTTTGAGTTACAAAATATCAATGAGGTTCGATTTGACGTCGTATAGCAGCTCATTCATACATATAAAAAATATTATATATATTTAGTATTCAACCCATCTTGGAAATATTAGTTGACCTTAATTATTCCTAATTCGATTGGACTAAACTTATTTTAACTGTATTAATAAAATCTTAATTATTTTCTAAGAAGTACACAGCAAACACTGCGTACTCGAAAAGGATACAGATCACTTTGAAATTATCAAAGCTCGGACTAGACGGATCCATTTTAAAGCATATAACAACGTCGTCGTTCAACAGCTCGATAATGTCGGCATCTTTAAACACTTCCATAAGTTCATCGTTTTCTTTACCTGATAACAAATAGGCGACTTGTCATTAATAAAGTTACTATAAAAAAAAAAAAAATACAATACACATTATGCAAACGACTACAAACCTATATAAACCATGAACATGCAATTTTTATCGACCATTTGTTGTAACGCGTTTTTGGAGTCGCCGTCGAACCATCTCAATGAAGACATAGCCGTTTAGATATGGCTGATGCCAATAATTGTTTCGAGTCGTAATTGAAGACGCCCAAGCTATCAGGAATCAATAAACTACACAACAGAAAGCACTTTAATACTATTATTACGTGGGTAGACAGTAGACAGCCTAAAACATTTTCGGGAGACGAGGCCTATAGAATTTTTGGTGATCGTTATGACGATAAGATTAAGTGAATATTTTCCTTTACCTTAAAACTCCAAATCGAAATTCACAAAAGGTTTACCCGCAATGCGCAGACACCGAACGTGAACACCGTTGTGTAGTATTTATGGCCAATCGAAATGCAGTAGGTATATATTTTGGCTGAATAATAAAAATCAATAATGAAACGAGCACCGAATGGTTCAATTGTTATTTTGCAAGTCCTCGCCACTGATACTAGAATGCATAAGTACAACGTCCAGTAAACGGCCACTTAGACGGGAACACGTTATTGATAAAATATATCATTTATCATATTATTATCTTGTCACGTTTCCCCCACCGTTGACTCGCGAATATCATAAACAGGTATGTCAGCCACTCGTGCTCGACCACAATATGGCTGCCGGTTGGGTCGGGCGGCCATGTATTCCTTACGGGAGCAAACCGGCCGGCATGTTGTACACAATTGTCAACTCGAATTGCCGACATACCTGTTAATTTTGCCGTGACAAACAACAACAATAATTTATCACGGAATAACCGGAAAGGAAACCTTACGGAAAATTACACGGGTCTTTGAATAAAATGTCTGACACACATCAGTCCCTGCACATCAGGTTTCCCTTCTGGTTATTCTTGTTATTTAATCAATTTGATAACGACAATAGATAATATGTTAACCGCGTCCGAGCACGTTTTTCAATTTTTTCATATTCGATAAAATATCATATTTTCGATTATTATGTTACTCTAATAATTACTGTGCTTTTCAAAGTAATTGTTTTCGTTTAAAACATTTGTATTCTTCGTTAAAATCTACATAATAAAATTGTCATGAATCGTTAACCTCTCGAAAAAATTTATTAATTACTCTACTCGAATCGAGCGGTGGTTATTTCGATCTAGAAAACACGACACAAGGTAATATATTATTAATATTATTATTGATTTTATTTACACTAATGACAAGAGGTCACGGTTGGCCGATTGCGAAAAAGTTACTATTTGAAAAAAAACCGTCTGCAAGCATTAGCTGTCGGAACACAGCCGTGTGAATGAAATAAGAGCACAATGAAAAAAAAACAATACTACCGACTACTAGTATGTCTATTAATTTTCTCAATCCGTTTGATCCGGTGATGGCAGTGCGTTGATTTTAAACAATCATTGATTTAATTGTGTTTTTAATTAAATAACTCTATTGAAACCCGATATTTCTTTTAATTTGATTATTATACAAGTAAGAACATTTCAGTTTTTCTATTCAGCTTCTATTTTACAGTTGGTTGTTTACAATATTTCACAGTATAATTGAACAACGGTCAACAATAATTTTTACCAGTTCCTGACAAAGTACTTACAATATTTTAGGTTACCGTTTCAAATATTAAAACAATAACCGTTAAATTAAAATTCCAACCGAAACAATCAACTTTGTGATGCATTTTATAAATTGTCATCATCTAAATTATTAGGGAAGTTAATTTTAAAAAAAATAATAATCCTCTGATAGACAAATAATAAGTCAATACAAACTGAAATAAAATATATATCCATTTTTTTAGTTAATTTTTTTGAATATATACTGGGTGAATCTTTTATCATGAACCACTCAGTATCTCATAGGGTTTAATAAGAAATTAAAATATTTTTTTTCATATTGTTATACAATGTGATCTCAATTTTTCACAAGTTTTTTTGTTTTTACCCCCTTCCCAACTTGGTTTTTTCTGTTAATTTTCACACTAAAAAAAAATTGTTTTTCAACAGTTTCACTTTTTAAAAGAATCAGAAAAAACTTTAAATCTAAAGAATCAAAATTTTTGTTCAGCTTGCCATTTTGTTGAATTAAAAATTTGCTTCGGTTACAGGAAAAAAAATTAAACCCATGTATTGTGGTTGCTTGAAGCCCTTGCTTGTTGCTTCCGTTATCTTCCACAGATTAAAAAAAAACACTCATGACCATTGATCCATTGTAGCCGTGACCTCATATCGTAAAACAAAAGACAAGCACATAATTACGAGCAAATTGTATAAACTATTATTGTAATTTCCAGATGGTGATCAGTCAAGCAGCCAAAAAGGCCGATAGAATCATCGACAAGACGACTGGCCTGTATAAAATTGCTGCCAAAATAATTAAACAAGTCAAAACCGGAAACAGCTACAAGACTCTTCTTTATCGAGCGCAATATCCAGTAAGATTATAATATTTATACAAGATTTTAAATACACACATAGTATAATATACTGTCGGATAAAATTTCTATGTGTTATTTTAATCAGCTAGACATGCATTTTTGTCAGTATTAGAATGTTTAAAAATGGTACTAACAATAAAAATGTATAAAAAAAAAAAACAAGTATTTTAACTTTTAAAGAAATGTCTAGTGTTTTTTTTTAATTTCCAACTTAAAAGAAATTGATGCCAAAATACGACTGTAAAAGTGTTGTTATTGTAGAAATATTTAAAGCCACGTGTTTTTTTTTTTTTTAGAATAAGCTAACGTTGAACGCCGTATTGATGAATGTGTTTAAATGGGAAAAAGTATTGGACGTACTGATCGAGAAAAGTAATATACTGAAAAAAGAAAACGATTTGGACAAAAATTTGGCGTACGTACTAATTACAGAAATGATGTGGTCAAAATTTGGTTTGAAAGGCAGCGCTAAAAATATTTTGGCGATTAAAAAATACAAACATGAATTCGTCAAACTCATGAAGGAACTTAATTTAGAAACACTAGTGACTTCAATGCCGAACAAAGGTTTCACAATGTTATATTTTCAATTTGAAATAATTTTTTATTAAGTATTGTTAACAATAATTGTTGTTTAATTTTTTTAGCGTGGAAACCTCGTTATTTTCGCGTGAACACCTTGTTAACAACAGTCGACGATGTACTGAAGAAATTGGCCGAGCATAAATATAAAAAATTAAAATCGCCTGCTACGTACAGCGATTTTTTGGAGTTGTTAAAGTCGAAAAAATTTTCAAAAAACTGTTTTGTTCAAGACTTACACATCAAAGAGCTGCTGGTTTTCAACCCGAAAGTGAAATTTTATAAGCTTGAAGAATACAACAACGGAAGCTTAATTATTCAGGATAAGGTAAAAGTTGCTATAGTCGAGCCTTTTTTGCATAAATAATTTACATAAACTGCGATAATATTATATGTAATTTTTACTTTTCAGTTGATTGTTTTGTTTAACGTGTTTTTTCTGTACATTTTACCAATATGATAATATTTTTTTTAAATGGTTCTTAATAATTTCAGGCCAGTTGTTTAGCGCCATACATTCTGAAACCTGAACCAGAGAGTACGGTGTTGGACATGTGTGCAGCTCCCGGTATGAAGACGTCCTACCTTGCCGCCATTATGCAAAATAAAGGGTAATTCCGCCTAAATCATAAACTCAATTAATCCTTACATAATTTTTGTATAACTTCTCAATAATTGGTTCAAGTTTCTTCTTTTAACTTTTTTTTTTAACTGAAAAATTAATAAAGACGTCACTTTAAATATGTTAAAAAAATTACATGAAGTATAATATATTACAAGTATTTAAATTATAAATTGGGTTTCTTTTCAAATAATTTGTTTAAAATTTTAATTACCTTTTATTTAATCATTAATTACAATTATTTATAATAGCTCCGTTTGTTTTTCGTTATGTATTTATTTAAACAAACAATTGGTTTACAAATACATTTTTTTAAAATTAATTTTCATTATTGTTTGTTTAATCATCTAATTATTTTCAATTTTACATAAATATAAAGCCGGTTGAAAATCAAATACATCTTTGACCTTGATTTAATTTATTAGTAATTATATAATAAATATAGTTTTCAACTGTTAAATATATTAAAAAAAATTATTTAAAACAAATGCTATTAAGATTATTGTTTTGAGTAAAAAAAGCTTTGAATTGTTGTTCATAAGTATAAAAATATTATTATTTATGAAAATGTATTTTTATGTTTAAAATTCACTGGGATAATAATATGTTTTCTGTGAATATTAAACAGATTATCTGTTAGATTTGTTAAATTACAATTAATTTATTTTGTCGAAAAAAAAGATTTGAAAAACTGTTTATTATGTATTATTTAATTTAAATTTTGCCCAACACAGTATCTGAAATTGTTTTTTAAATTCTCATTTTATTTTCAAACATACTCAATGTATTATATAAAATAAATTATAACACAATAACCGATGATAAAAACTTGTGAACCGATTAAAAGGTATAATAGCAATTATTTATTTACAAATATTTTCTAACTATTATACTTGTATTCTTAATCAATTATAGCTTAACATATCTTACGTTAAATTATAGAATTAAAATTTAATTTTAATTGTTTTAAGCTAAAGGGTTCAATGAAAAATTTATTTTTTTTACAATATTATTATTACGATTGTTGCAGCACGTTGTATGCAGTTGATCGTTGCAAAGATAGGTTTGTCGTAATGCAAAAAATGTTGGAAAAATATGGCGTGACCAATGTGGAAACTTTCAATATGGATGCATTGACTTTCCCGTACGTTGATAACGTCAAATACATTCTAGTGGATCCATCGTGTTCCGGTTCTGGTAAATACTACTAATTATGATAATTATTTTTATTTGTTTTGATAACTGTTTGTCACCTGACTTGATTTAAAAAATAGTCAATTTTTAAAATGATTAAATACAATTTTTATTTTTTAAATATACATTTTTTCATTTGTAGCCATTTTGATATCATAGTGAAAATTGGCCATGATTTTGGTAAAAAAGAAAAATTGTATTGTCTAGGTAAAAAAAATAATGACTTTTATTAAAAATATTTATACTGTAACAAGATTTAATTATTTACTTTTTACTACTAAATGGGACGACGCCACAAATATTTTAAATTGATGTGAATTATTAATTTAAGTAATCTTATAATTATTCCTCGTAAATGTAACAGGGAAAAATTATCAAAATTCGTTTCGTGCTAAGAATGAATTTCCCCATTGTATTTAAATTGTACACTGTTGTTCTTCATGGGGTACTTATTAACATAACAAAAACTCTTGATTGCTCAAGCGTTTTCCTCTGCTCTCCTCAATATGAAAACAATTGGTTTATCTTGTTTTTTTTTTCTTTAGAAATATACCAACTTAAGAAATTAACAACAAATCATTTACAGTCAGTTACACCCATAGGAACACTAAATTTTCTATAAAAAAAAAAGAGATTCTACTAAAACTGTACTTATTATAATGTTTTCAGGTATCGTGGACCGAGTTCGAAATGATCCGGGACAGAACGAAAATAACGAAATAAGACTTAAGAAACTGGCTAATGTTCACGCTCAATTGTTGAACCACGCTTTGAAAAGTTACCCGAATCTAGAGCGACTTGTTTATTCTACGTGCTCGTCGAATCCCGAAGAAAACGAGGCGGTCGTTGACGAAGCGTTGTCAGTGACTGAAGATTTCAAACTGTTGGACTGTACTAAATTAGTGAAAGGATGGAAAAACAAAGGAGCTCCAGGGTATAATTGCTCTGACTTGTGTCTGAATGCCGTGCCAAGCACAGACTATACGAATGGGTTTTTCATCGCCGTTTTTGTACGCAAAGATTTCATCGAACCGGAACAAAAGGAAGATGAAGAAGCCGTCAAAGTAGAGGAAGTCGTCGCTAAAGTGAAGTGTAATGATACCAAAGCCAAAGTACCGTTGAAAGTGAACAAAAGTGATCAGCCGATTAAAAAAAGTAAAAACGCCAGAAGAAAAGAAAGACGTTTAAAACAACAACTAATAGAAAACTCCAAAAGCGTGGATGACGATAAAAATATAAAATTAGATGAACCAAACGAAACCAAAACAAAAACCGAAGCGATTAAAAGAGTGAAAAAAAAGAGAAAAAAGTCCGAAGAGAATGAAGAAGGAGAAGAATCAAAAAAGGAAGACTCCCAATCAGAAGGCAAAGGTGTACAGGTTATGGAGGTGAAGAGAAAAAAGAAGAAAGCAAAAACAGAACACGTCGTTGACAAAGATGCTATAGTAGTAAATGAGGAACCGTTAAAAAAGAAAAAAAAGAAAAAAATTTTAGACGAATAGTAGAAATGTGATAGAGTTAAAAATATATACGTATAATATTTATGACTATTTTGAAAAATACTTTTTTTATTAAACTATACATTTGTTTTTTTAAACTGTCATTTCACTTGGTTGGAGATTATGAAAGTGAATCTTTCCTTTTATTGTTGTCATAAGGTCTTGGTCGACTTAACTTTAAAATGTTCGAAAAACATTTTCAGCGTTTTCATAAAGTTGCATTGATTTTTGTTCCGTTAACGATATACAGCATGCTTATGAACTGCAATTGTATATACTTTGACTATTCTTCTCCTTAGGATTATATAGTGACGTATCAACCAATTGCATATTTTTCAGGAAATGCAAAATTAAGTTTAAAAAAAAACTAATTTCTCTTTGTACAAAATCCGTTAAGTTACCATTCATGTAACAAGCGTACAAACATCGATCAAGTTCTTGTCTTAGAAACAACTTTTACATTTTGACTTAAAATTTAGTTAACGCCATTATAATTGAATTGTTAATAATATTATCAATCGCAGAGTTTTTATATTTCTAATAAAATAATATTACATTTCGGTGGTTAAGTGTCGCTAAACGGAATCATACAAATTATTTTATATTCGATTAATTTGAAACGTTCATTTGTGTGTCAACTTTTGAACGCGGTTTTCCAAGTGAACAGTTTTGTACAATTTTAACCGTTAGAGTTAAAACACTTTATTCGTAAGTAAATTATTTTTAACGATAACATATTATATCAATACAAAAAGAAACAGTTTTTCAAATTACATCATTGATTGAAATTTGGGAACAAAGATTAATTTATTTTAAAAAAATAATTACTATTTGATTTTATCAATATAAATTTCTCTAATAACGCGCTTATACGGTATGTTCACAACAGTGCTTAAGTCAAATACATAGGTATTCAATGTTTATACATACACTAGTCACCAAGTTGAATTTAAAACGCTAGCTATATTTCAAAACTTAATGTATTTTGTAATAGCTAATTTATCTAGTCATTCACACTGTGCTATTTGTTCTAAACAATTGTTCGATTGGCTTATTAAATGATAAGATGACAAATGTAGTTTATGAGCAAGTATTGTAATAGAATAAGTTAATGAATAATTACGAAATAAAGTGAAAACAAATATCATTTAAAAATAAAAAACGGAATTTCATTTCGCTAAATTAAATACAATTGTATTGAGAATATTATGATGATTTAGTTTAGCTTTATAATGTCAAATGAATAAACTAGAATCATTGGCTACAATTATTGTATCTTGCAGACACGAGCGATATATTTGAAGAGTGAAAGTGTCAAACGTTCCAAGTGCCAAAGTATAAAAATTGTACTTTATAATTTGATTTGTATTTTATTCATTATCGAAAACAATTTTGTACATTTTTCAAGTAAAGAATAGTTATTTATAAAAAAAACAATCATACTTAAAACTCAAAAATATGTTTAAGTGTTTCCGGTAATGAATAAAATACAAATCAAGTTATAAAGTTGAATTCTTATACTTTGGCACTTGGAACGTTTGACACTTTTACTCGTCATTTATTTTTTGATAAATCGTGCACAATTTATAACCTCAAAAACTAGATCACTTTTTGTATTACATATTATCATTTATTGGTTGGCTAATATTATTGAACAATAATGTTATGTCTCACTGGCTGTGATTTTGTTTACTTGTCTAGTCGCTAATGTAATATAAATCAATTTAACACAATTCGCTGGAACTAATTATACTACTCGTTATTCCAATATTAAATTATTAAAAGTATCAAAATATGTACATGTCTATTCCACGTTGAAAGTTAATCATTGTACGGTACTACGTCGGTTAGTAACCAAACTCTTATTATTAATTCAGTTGTTAACGTTCCTTTTGTGAAGGAAACAGATCCTATCCTCGTTCCAATGAATTTTAAAAAAATAGTATACTTTATAAGTTCACATTTGAAGAAAAAAGGACTACAAGTTTCACTTATTAAATGCATACCTATCACGGTTGTCTACAACCGTGCCGCTGTGTTTTAACTGTTATAAGAAAAATTTTGAATATTCCTACTATTATGTAAACAGTATAATGTACGTTTACCTAACCTGCCCTTCGTGTATGAGTAGATTGCTATCATTTGAGTTGAGTGTGATTTTTTTGTGCGGCTGTTTTAATTTTGTACACTATTTTTTTGTGTTTTTTTCTTATTTGTTTTTGAAATTTATTTTTTCGAAATGTCGATTCGGTCCGATTTACATTCTCAAACGAAAAACACATTACAAAACGTGTATGCATTTTTTAAAACCCTGACCACGTGCAAAGAGAAGCGGGAATTGGCAGATTTTTTCGACAATCTCAAGAGAGGACGGCTAAGGCTTGTGCATGGCCGTATCCAGCACTAATTTTTTTTTTTTTGGGGGGGGTTTAAGATAAAACGCATATCAGTTTTTTAGATATATATATATAAACGAATGTATAACAATTAACTTAGACTTTATTGTTAAAGTAAATAAAATACTTACTGGTTTTGAATCAATACATTTTAATATTGTTACTTGTACGGCGACGTAAGGAGTCCAAATAAAAAAATATTAATTTTATTTAAATAATAGAAACTTAATGTTGATAGCTTTAAGAGCTTGTGTGAATAGCAGAAAAAAACAAAATACTACACACTAATGGTGTGAAGATAGATATTTGTCTTAGCTTTAATATAATATACAAGTAGATTGGATTTCATACCCGTGTGGACTTGATGAAAGCGTGTGTTACATCTTATATCAATTAATTCCTATATTTACTTCCCGAAAATTAAAAGTGTGATGCCATCAAACAGTTTGTCTTTTCATTGTTTTCAATTTTCTCATACTGCTATCAGCCATTTTTGAGTTTCCTCTTATTTATTTGTAATGCGAAAAATTCATCAGCTGCAGTACAGCTTAGTCCACATTAATAAAAAAAAAATGTAGATGGTGATAGGGGGTGAGTGATAGGGGTGGGAGATAGGGGTGAGAATTAGCTCTGGCACATAACCGAAAAAAGTGTTACCAAAAAAAGCGTTACCTACGCTGTTATCTGATAAGAGATATGTTGTACGTTCAACCACAGATTATATGAAAACATATAATCTGTGGTTCAACGTTCAAATTAGAACTAAATAATAAATTCAAAATAGTTTAACAGGTCAAATTGTTTCAAGCTAGATTTTATGAAAACACTAAAATAATAGCCAGAAACTTGATTGTACATAATTTTTTAATCTTCTTGGCCTTATACTGTAACTGGAAGCTCCATTTAATTTTTTTTTTTTAAAATTATAATTCCACACCTAATCTAAATTTATTAGGTACTTCAACGAGACATGAAAATGCTCTTTCGTGGTTGCAGACTCGGCTGAAAAACTTTTTTATTTTTAATGATTGAAATAATGTGAAATTAAAATAAACGTGTATAATCTTTAAAATAAATACTTTTATATAACCATATAATATTGTTTTAAAATATTTAATTTGAATAATAAGTATATAAAATATGTATACAACGTGGTAGGGTGTTTGAGTTTTATTGTAAAAAAACTGTTTACAATTTAATAAAAAAAGCCTAATTATATTACGGTGCATTCAAATAAATATAAATGCAATCAAAAGTGACCGTTAAAAGAGCGGGCTGGATCATTTGAATGATAAAATTAAAATATTTCATCACGATTCGCGCTTGATAGAAAAATACGATGTAAAAATAACATATAAATAACTGCAAAAATAAGTGGTCTGTGCTCGTCAAGTTTAAACAGAAAAACAGTTAGCTAATGAAATATATGCCCAATTAATAGATACGGTCGAGTAATATCAAACAAGTTAAGCCGATTCCATATTGTACCAGGTGATTGGTTAACCATGGACCTCTCAATATCAAGATATTAGACTTTTTTCATTTTTTTTTTATACTTGTATGGTAATTATAGTTGGGACAAATTTTATATATTTTTCAAAATTTATCTGCATTATTTTATAGTTGAATTAACGTGTTTTTTTGCAAACTGAATATTTATTTATGAATGTATGAAAATATCTACCTAAATAACCATTTAAAACGAATACATATTAAAACAACTGTACTTAGCCTTAGAACAATGAGCCATATGATGCGTTGGGTTAAATATTTAATTTTTTTTTCGATATATCAGTTAAACTTAATGGTACGGCTCCTAACACTTGTAAGTTTTTGAAACTGCTATAACTTATATATATATATTTTAATAGTTAAATTGAATATACATTTGTATTGTTCGTTTTTCAAATGTCTGTAATGTGGATGATAATATCAGTTTTAAAATATATATAAAAAAATTATTCTTTTGATGTGAGATTTTATTATTTTCATTTATTTATATTGTGCAAATTTGTATAATTGACCAACCCAATTCATTATTAATTTTATGTATTTTATGCATTTTTTTATTTTTAGGATAAACAGTATAAGAAAAAAGTCTAAAATACAAGAAATATGGACTATAATTTATTGTATTAGTTATAATTTTTTGACAGAAATAGTTAGAAATATGGTGAATTATGAAAGTTTCTTGAAATAGCATTCGTAGTATGTTGACTGAATATTAGGTTGGCTGCTCGATGAAATTTTTCTGTAAAATAAAAATAATATATTAATTTAATTTTGGTAAAATTTAGCCTAAATCAAACTAAACCTTTCGCAATTACCACATGATAATCTTTTTTAAAATTGTTTGTAACCTAATCACAATTTTCTTGATTGATATTTGATGTTGGAAAAAATATTATTACTTTTATAAAACCGTATTAACATAGTTTCTAAGCAAAATTAAAAAAAACTAACATGATTATTGGATTTCCCTCAAAAAATCATCCTCTTTTGATTTCATAGTATAAGTCAAGGAAATTAATAAGTCTGGTGAATAGAATAATTTGTGTGCCAAAATTCATCCAATAGCCTTTTATGTTGCGGCTATTAATAATAGTTTTATAATAAAAGCTGTTGCGAGACACGCAGCTGAAGTGAATCTTATTTCTGATTTT